TTTTGAAGACAAAACAAATTGCGATGGTGTCTTTTGACTCCTGACCTCTTGTTTTAGCTATCCTTTTCGTAGTAATAGCCTTCTCTGCCTTACCTAAGTGCAACTCTTTTTCTGTTTTTAGAATCTTTCTTGTGTCTTTAGATACACATGCGTCTATTTAAACTTTTAATTTATCACATTTACTAGAAGTGTCAGTTAATGGTTGATGAAATGACAGGTTAAAATGGTAATTAAACATTTGAAGGTACCTAACACCATTCCTTAACTGGCTGACGTTCTTTTTGAGAACATTGTCCAGTATAGCATTTATATATTTTTCTAATGTTTAAATGAGAAGGCAAATATTGTTTATTAGGGTTGTCTTTACGGGCATAATGGCTTTTATACCGTGGGAATATGTTAATATGCTCTCTGACGAAGTTTAAGTCAGTTTCAGGTATCTTTCTTGGGTTTGATTGTTTGCCTCGTTCATCTAAAGCAACAAAACCAAGTTCTGACTTTCTATTGGTTACACGAGAGTACCTTCCGTTGCTAATATTTAACGTTTTTAGAAAGAATTCTTTGCACACTCTTTGATTTTTTAAATTGAATGAAATTGATTGATTTGCGTTTCTGCGTCATTGCGTCTACGTAAACAGTTTTCTATTTTAATGCATGAATCAATGTAAGCTGTTTGCCGATCTCAATCGGCAAGACCCCAAAAATTAGTAAATAAGTATAAGATGTGCTTCCTCCTCTGTAATATTGTTGCATGAGTAGCGGCACGTGTGAATAAAATACGTGAATTTCTTACCCCGTTTAGCTTGATTTCGATATCCTATATATGCCTTTCCCGCATTTCGTAACTTTTTGTTAACTACTCTTTTATGTTCGTTTTTTCCCTTTTTTTTTTCTATCTGTAGCATCCTCTACTTGAGCTACATGTTGAGTACTAGTATTTTCGTTATCAGATTGTGCATCAGGAACATAGGTTTGGTCCAAATCTGAATCGTCAAAGTCAGAGAATTCTAAAAGTAAGGTTACTTTCTTACAAAATATGTAATAAGTTTATGTTTATACAGTTTTATTTACTACTATGTACATACATACCTTCTACATCCATTTTGTTTGAAAGTCAATAAACAAATTCGCTTTAAACGCAGATAAACAACAATTTATTCAGATATTAATGTACGCACGTGTTCTTCTATCGCAACGTGTGAGCTGTGATCCACCTGTGATCGCAACAGTAATAATATTTTAAATGTAAAAGTGGTACAAGTGCATTTGTCCTACTTATCCACTCAGGAACTGCGGTTTTACTTTAGAGGTTAATCTACTATACGTAAGATGTCGCTATCAAGTACAATTTTCACTTGTACCACGAAATGGTACATTACCTTTGCAGAAGTGTTTAGACTAATTTTGATAAAAAAAGTCACTTATACCACTTTTTAACTGATCCCCTTAATTATACAGGGTAATTCATTACTAATTGGAAATATTTTAATTATAAAGTCCTGAGCTCAAATTATGAAGATTTAATCCAAATCACCTAGATAAAATGTGTCTCCATTCCGAGTTACAGGGTGTTTTGTTTAAAAATTTAAAAATTATTTCTGTTAAATACTTTAAAACTATTTGACGTATTATTTTCATATTTGACGGGAAGTGTAGATACTATACACCCTACTAAATTATGTTAAATAATCATTTCTGGCTACCATCAGAGGCGTATAACAGCGGTAAGTGACTGGCTAATCCTTCCCAAATTGCACTTTTTCTTTATAGCGATAAAATTATTATTTTTCGAGATATTTCAAGTTAAACATGAAGCTGTACATAATTTTAAGTAAAAAAAAAACTTTACAAATACGTTAATTATAAAACAATCGTAAACAAATAATTTTTAACAATTAGACATTCTTAACAAAATTACTGTCTTGTTTTGACAGCTTATGATGTGGTTATGATATGGCAACCTTGGGGGTCTGGTGATTTGACAGAGTCAATGATATAGATAGGTTGATTGATCATCCATGTTTTTCAAAATAAACATAAGCTTATGCCTTGAAGTAATAATGTAGGTAATTATTTTTTTAACTATATTTGAAGACTGAAAATTGGTTTTAAAGCACATTTTTGCTAAACTGATTCTGATTATTGAGCCCTTGAGAGACAATATGGCCGCTCGCAAAACAACCCATTTTGAGCAATATACACACATCGCCAAAATTCTTGGACCCCCTTATGTTTGTCAAAATGAGACACTATTATTAAAAGTCAAGAAGTGTGTTACATAGTACATTTATTTTGGTTATGTATCCAATAAAAATTGGCTGATTTAAATTTTAACTGAACAAGAAAAAAATACAAACGAAAAATAGTGCATAATCAAATTATTACTAGAATTTGAAATCCAGAAGAAAACCACTTTAGAGCGAAATCAAAAATTCATTAATATTCGGTGTGTCCTCTCCTGTTTTGTAGTAAGGTATTAACTCGCCTGTGCATAGAAACAATAAGGGTGTTAATGTATTCCATTGGTATGTTGTTCCATTCTTCTTGGGCCGCGACTTCCTGGAGGGTGATAGGAGGATTAATTCTGTTTGAGATTGCTCTTCCAATGAAATCCCACATGTGCTCAATGGGATTCATATCTGGCGAATTTGCTGGCCACTGTAATCTTTAAATATTCTGAATTTCTAGTAGGTACATTTTGTACCCTTCTCGCACGATGGGGCCTAGCATTGTCGTCCATGAAAATAAAATTGGCTCCAATTTCATTTCGGAGAGGATAAATAATGGGTTCAATAATGTTTCGAACATATCTATCAGCTGTCATAGTGTCTGGAATGGGAATAAGCTGCGTACGACGACCATGCATGGAACGACTTCTCTGGCAAAAGATAGTCTTTCTGGTCGCCCTGGCCCTCTCCAAACTCTGTGTCGCCGACTATCACTAATTAAACCATATCTGGTTTCGTCCGAAAAAAGAACATTTCCCCCACTGAGCTAAAAGCCAGTCTCTGTGTGTGTAGACGAGCAGCTATATGTTTGGGAAGTAACCTGGGTACTCTTAATGGTTTCCTAGATCGTAAATTGGCTCCAGCAAGTCTCTGCCGTATTGTGGTACTGGAAATGAATAGACCATACGTTCTTCTAAAATTAGTTCGGACAGCTGAAATTATTACGGTTCGATTCCGACGTACATAACCTGCTACATACCGATCTTCTCTTGGATTAGTTACCCTAGGATACCCAGTCCCACGTTTCCAGTCAACGCTGTTAATTTCCTGGAACAAACGCTCTATTCGGATAACTGAAGCGCGGCGAAATCCCTAGTCTATCCGCGATTCGATGATTCAGCAGACTCTCATCATGCAAAGCCACTATTCTTGATCCACTGAACAATGAAATTCTATTGCTAGGCATAGTTGCAAAGAAAAACTCAACAATCACTTAAACACGCAAAATCGATATAAACCACTTCTTAAACATTGGTACCTAAAATTTGGGGAAATTGTTTTTGTAAATATTTTTAGATGCGTATCAACGGTAAAATAAATAAAGATTAAATGTACAAAAAAGCAGCCATGATTAATATTTCGTTTTAATATTTACGAGGGGGTCCAAGAATTTTGGCGATGTGTGTATATGTGCATCATTGACCCTGTCAGTTACAGCAGGCCACAGGGTTGCCATATCTAAACTGTTAGTGCCCATGATACACATACTAATTGTATGCTGACTTTCGATTCAAAATTCGTCCAGACCGCACAGGACGTAATGCGGGACGAACTTTCAAGTTATTTTGACACTTTTCGATTGAATAGTGTAAAATAATTTAATAATTTATTTGGTTTTGTGTTAGTAGTGACTATATTTTCCTATATATAACAGGGAAAAACTAAATTATAATTTAAAATGCCGGTCTGTGCGGTGGAGATATTTCCGAATGCCACAAAATATGGGTAAATTCTTATCGAAGAAAGGCAAACTTAATTGAAGTTGCCCTATCCACGGGCCTCATTAAGCAAAGAAAATAAATCGGTATTTTAAAATTTTAGCAGATAAAACGGTAGTTTTCTGTTCCAATACAATGGTTCGTTTGAAGTAATGCATGCATGAGCAGGACACGAACACATAATAATAAGATAAATGAACAGAAAAATTGGTTTTGAGTATTTTCGAAGTAAACTTAACGAAAAATGTTCAAATTTACCAAATAAAAAGTAATTTTTTTGTGTATTTACTTTTTATAAATACATAATTTGTTTCTGCACACTTATTTTTATTTCACATAATAAGAAAAGAGATTGCAAGAGAACTACCACGCCCAGAAAGTATAAATTTGAGTCAAACTTGTATTTTTAGTTTATATTTTTTACTTATCTTGTGGCCATGTTATGGATTTTATTACAAAATACCTATAATTTATGAGAAAAATAAATATTTTTATTACTATTATTTACCTTAAACTTTTATATTTGTAAACGAATATATTACAAAATAACCAATAAAGCTTAAATAACTGCATAAAATCTAAAATTGGCAAAATATCGAATTTTAAACACCTCCCATTTAATGCTTATATTTTTATGTCCCACGTGACGTCACCGTCAATCAGCTGCATACGCAGGAACATTCCGTTAGTCTGTGTATCGTGGTCAGCATTTTGACAGGTCGTTGGAATGCCTAATAGTTTTATCAAATTTATGATGGTGGGTGAGGTTTTCCGGGTTTTCCTCACCTGTAAGTCAAATGGCACCATCAATCATCTTTAAGTCGCCCCGGAGCCCCACGGCAAATAATAATAATAGCCGTCCCTGCCCCTACACAAGTCGTTCAGTCGACTTCAGGGGTTGAAATTCACTCGTAAGGGGGTGAATTAGGGAGAGTATTATTATTATTATTATTATTACAACACAGTTTCTAATAAATATCGTTTCAGGCCTTTATCGTACAAATATTTGGAATAGTTCTGTATACTGATAGTAATTGACATTATGTGTTTTTAGGTATTCCAAGGAACCCAGATTTTTGAAGAAACCTAGATCATCGGAAGCCTACGAAGGAGACGACATCGTCATTTTATGCGAAGTAATTGGAGATCCCAAACCAGAGGTTTTGTGGCTTCGAGACTTCTTGAAGGTAAGATTCCTATTTCCAACTTTTTCACACTTTTCTCTCTATATCGTCTGGACATCTGTGCGTGCGTATGTAGTACACCGACACTAATCTCGGAACCATATTGATTTTTAGAATTATCGGTTTAACTTTAAATATCAGTGTTTTAAATGCAATTATTTTCTCATTGAGCTTATTTAATGCATTGTCGCGTATAGCAGGGGCAGAAGTTGCAAAGAATTTTCACAGTTTTTCTACTTTATACACAGAAATTGACAGTTTCGCGGAGAAGCTAACCGAAGTGGACGCGATACATTGGCGTACAAAATTATTTTGTAGATATTAATAACAATTACGGGTAAATGGTTTAATAAAATATGAATAGCTGTTGAAATTTTGTAGAATTATGATTTAGGATATTATAATACTTGTATAATTATTTCTAATCGATAAATACATGCGATTGTCCGGTTCCGCCGGTAACAATTTGAAATTATTTATTCTATGAAACACCACTGGCAGATAAACATTACCACGAAATTCTCGAAGTAGTCCGACGTGGTTTGACGTTTACCTACCAAAAACCTTTCCAACTTAGAACATGAACCTTTCCAACTTCTGCCCCTGCTATAACAGACAATGAAGTTGTGAGCTCGGGCAGAGACAACCCAGCGAGACGTGTATAGTCTTTCCAGACACAATCCAATACGGCATTATAACCGACTAGCGCCGACTTCAAAGGGACCGCGCACATGAGCGTATCGTTTTTTATTATTAAAATTAAATAAATTATTAATTGGGTATAATTCTTCCATTATCAATAATTGGAAGGCATTAAATGCCGTTATTTAGACAGATGCACTTAATTATAGTTCTACTTGAAACTTAAAAAAAAAATTAATATTATAGCTCGTTAACTTGCTACAACTGAATATTAAATTATAAAACGTAAATTGACGAGTAAAATGTTCCTGCCTTTAAGGGTACCAGACGTGAACTGAGCCCTTTTTGTACCCCATTCGTTTTTTTTCTGGAAAACGAAATTTCAAAGCAAAAACCATAAAGGAAAATAAATTCGTTACAAATAAAACAAAACTATAAATGTATTAATGTGATGACTCTCGGATTACCAGTAATGAAAAATAAGAAAGTTAATCCGAATCTAAATCAGAACCATCTATCGAGGAATCGAGGTTTTGATTTATAACTACTGGAGCTATAGAAGGTATAACATAATATTCTTTTTCCTTTTTAATGACGTAATTAACGCTGTTTCTCCAAACGTCAGTCAAAGACAGATCTTTAAAAACGCCATTAATATTTTCCAAAACCACATTTGTTATTAAATTAAATTATTACGTCTCAGTTTTTGTTTAACTGAAGACCAAACTAACTCAATTGGATTAAGTATACAATAATAAGGTGGTAACCTCAATACAGTATGACCACCATCTTTTCCAAAATTATCAATATAATCAGAGACAATCCAGCGAGACGTGTAACTCAATGTATTTTTTTTGTTCGGTAAAAGTTATTTGGGCGATTGTAACCACAACCAGTCTATGATGGCGCCAATAGTAAATAGCGGGAAAATTAAAAATGCTTTAGGGTGGGAAATTCAAACATGGATTCAGAAATAAATAGTTTTTCTATACAAATTTACAGGAGAAACAAAAACTATTGTTTCACTGTATATTAAAAAATATTAAAGCTTTCAATAACATCAATTTTTTTATCATATAAATAATCATTTTAATAAGGGAAGTTTTAATCAGTTTAATATAAGCAGTGAACATAGTTTTTATTACTCTTGTAAATTTCGCTAAAAAAAACTTGAAAATTCTCTTGATTATTAAATATTTAAACTTGGAAAAATAATACACCAAACTCTTTTTCTATAAATTATATTTTTGTAAGGTACAGAAAAACAAACTACAATTGCTTCCTTTAGAAAGTACCTCCTATCATTTTGTGACAAGTTACAAAGAAAGTAACAGTTGTTATATATTCAAAATATATTTAAAAACTAATGTAACAAATATTTTATAAAGTATAGAGTATATCGATACCTTTTTGCCAGACTATCATAAGTGTCATTTGAACAAATGTCGCTTACATTAGTCTGGCAAAAACGTATGGATATGTTATGACTGTTTATTTTAATAGAAACCATGGAAACGAAACAAACACACATACACTCAACACAAATTTATAAGGCCCGAGTTAAGTAAGTTGCCATGCCTTCTAAAAGGGAATGAAGGATGACATACTATCATCATTTAAACAGGACATTGCTGAAGGCTTACCCCTGTTATTTCGTTTGTTTGTGTATCTTGTGCGTGTGCATTCCTGTTGTGTCCGCAGTCATGTAAAAGTTTTCCTAGTCTCCTAATTTGGTTACTAGGTGGACCTTTTCCAACTAGTAGTCTAATCTATTCGATCTGTTCTGCAGCAGGAGGTACTTTTCAAACATAGCAAATAATAATAATAAACACTATTTAAAGATGAATACATTTTTGTAATTTTTTTGTCATTGCCCCTTACCTGTCTCTTACACCACCAGGGCATACCTATTTTCCACATTCCCTTTATTACAGATTACCTTACAATGTTTGAATGAATATAACATTTTACCCATGAAAAATCTAATTTCGTATTTAACTCTTTTTCAATTTCATTTGAAACAATTGGTATATTACAATTTATTATCAAGGAAATCTTCTAATAAAGTTATAGCAAATCCTACTTAAACTACTGGTTATTTTGCAGGATAAATTAAACTTTTCTTGAGATTGATCTCTCTCTAAAATCCAAAACCAACCTGATGTCCCCAAATTTATTTTCCAATGCATCCTGATTTAAAATTCTGCCCTTTTGTGATTCAATTTTTTTTCTTCCTTTAGAGTGGCTATTAGAGGTAGGTGTATGTAAGAAATAGCCAATCTCTAATCATTTCAAAAGTCCTTTGCCAATACTACATGTGCAGATTTTTTACTCCTATACATTTTACTTTTCTAGTAGGTAGGAACTTTGTGCTACCATTAAAGCTGTCCAGACATTTATCTACCTACTTAATGAACAAAAGTAGCTGTAACAATGGATTTCTGTTCCAATTCACCTAAAATAATTATAGCCATTTTGTAATATATTATTAAACACACACATTATACAGTGGTTTTCTTAATAAATTGGAAATTACTTACCTCTAGAAAGAAATGTGTACAAAGACGCGAGTTTGGTTCCAGAAATTGCTTCATGCAAAAAATAATATGCAAAAATAAACAATCCTCCCCCCCCCCCCCCAAAGAAAATTAAACAACAAAATCAGACTCAAAGAAATAAACGGGGCCCAAATTAAATTAATTTTAATAAAATGCACACGTTCATAACAACATTCATAACATTGTCAGTTGTCAGTTTTAATCGATACGTCAACGTCAAAAACCAGCAACATCAGCGACCTCTTAAATTGGTGTTAGTTTTATTGGAGGGAGATAAATGTATGTAAAGATCAATGTAAAAGAGAAAGAAAGTGATATATGTAATTTAAATGGACCACCGAACACTTTTTCCTATTAAGTTACGTCTCTGTTGTCTCTGATATAATACTGTATTGGAATATTCTTACCTTTAACAAATTCTAACAATTGTGGTTTTGTTTTTGTGGAAGCAGGAATATCAGTGTTATTATCTTTTAAATATTGTATTATAATTGATTTGTTAGAGCCACTATTTGGCTTCTTATGAATTTGCCAGAAATGATATGACGCATTGTCCATTACAATGACTGAATTTGGTGAAATATTCGGTAAAAGTTGTTCAGAAAACCAGTTCTCAAAAACTGCTGCACTCATATCTTCATGATAATCCAGCAGAGCTTTATTGATATTTTTTGCTGAAAGTAGCAAAGCGTTTGGTATAAAGCCATTTATATTTCCGGCATGTAAAAGTATGACTCGTTTCCCCCTCGAGCATGGTGCATTTAAAACACAATTTTGTGAACCGTCTGCCCAACCACGTTGAACGACATCATGAGTGTCGAACCATGTTTCATCTAAAAAAACTATATTTCTATTGCTATTTCTGAATTTAAAAATTTTCCTTAAATAAATTTGACGTAATTCCACAATTCGACGCGACTCCATAATGCACATTCGGCTATCTAACTTTTTATATCTAAAACCACAAGTTATTAAAATTTGTCGAAGTGATTCTAATGATTTATATTTGAAATCTTCATAATCTTGTAATTTTCTAAAAAGTATCTCTAAAGTTGGGACTTGGTTTACTTTATACGTCGAATCACATCTTTAGATGCATCATCTATCCGACGGCTGACGACACGTTTTCTTTTTTGACTGTGTTAAATAACGCCTCGTTTAATAACGAAATAAATTGTGGAATAGGGAATTTTTGTTAACTTACATATTCTTTTAACTGCATCTGTTTGTGAAATATTTGGATTTTCTGATTTAAGACAAACATATTTAAAATCACCTGTTGAACTTGAATATGTAAGTCTTGGTTTTTGAATTCCCAAGATTGTGTGTCACCTTGATTGTCAATATTTTGAATTGCATTATTAATACGTATTTCATCATTAATTTGTACTGAATTTCATTATTTATTGCAATTTCATTATTAATGTGAATATCATCATTAACCAGCAATTCATTAGCATCTACATTTACCTCAAATGGTCTCCAGAAAGCCATCTCGTACAACACAAATCAAAATTTAACAGAAACACCTTAAAATAAAAACAAGAATAGTTTACAAACGTTTGAGAAAGGTTTCAGACTGTGCACGCTACTGAATAACAACAATAATAACCGAAGAGTCCGAAGACCGGTCTTTACCGCGTCCCATAAATTATAAAAACTTATTTCGAACACGCCTCCAAGTTCCCGTTTGCGTCTTTTCATTGGTAGACAAAAAAGATGATGAGCTTGTGACACACGTCAATCAAGTCCACGTTGTCTAGCGGCTCCTGTATTTTAAAAGGGGAGTATACAATATTTTTC